TATCATTGTCTTTACTGTCGTCGGAATTATTAGTCTGTTCTACAGATCTGCTAGATGAAGCACGTTTCAACGATTTGGTTAAATTTCCTGAAGAATTTCTTGCTTTGACAATATCTTTCAGGAACATTAGGGAATAATAATATGGCCATTTCGGCTCATACGAAGTCGAAGCTTCATCTCCAGATCGAGGAGCAGGAACTTTCCCATATTCAGTCGCGAACTGATCCCTTAAATATTTCCATTTCTTCCTCAGTTTGTTTTCTGGAAAAAAACAGTCGTATTATTTCTTACAGGTATCTGGCAACAGGGGCAACATTTGCACATTTGGCTTCTGAATTTAGAATGGGTCTTTCCACAATAAAGGATATTATAGAAGAAACAACGAATGTATTGTGGGATGAATTACATCCAGTACACATGCCCATACCTACAAAGGAGGCTTTTCGTGCAATAGCAAATGACTTCAACAATATTTGGAATTTTCCAAATGTTTTAGGGGCAATCGACGGAAAGCATGTGCGCATACTCTGTCCAGATGGATCAGGGTCCATGTTTTACAATTACAAAAAATATTTTTCTGTCGTGTTACAAGCAGTCGCAGATGCAAACTATAAATTTATAACAATTGATATCGGCGGGTTTGGTAAACAAAGCGACGGTGGAACATTCAAGGCTTCAGAACTATACCAACTTTTAAGTACTGGGCAGATGGATATTCCAGAAGCAGAATATTTACCAGGAACAAATGTGAAAACACCATATGTTTTTCTAGGTGATGAAGCGTATCCTCTGCTGAGATACCTACTAAAACCTTTCGGAGGCAGAAATTTGCCTTCAGAACAACGCAACTTTAATAAACGTCTATCAAGAGCTAGAAAAACTATAGAGTGTGCGTTTGGTATAGTAAATTCGAAATGGCGATTGCTTTCCAAATGTATTGAAACCAATATTGATGTAGCTGACCAAATCGTTAAGTGTATATGTGTTTTACATAACACTATCATTGATAAAGAAGGTATCAACCGTAACTTAACTCCTGTTCATTTAGTATGAAGAAGGTGGAATAACTCAGGGCACGACTCAAATGAGGCAATGGATATCAGAAATATTTACGTCAATTATTTTTTACATAACTCACTAGCTTACAATAATTAAGTGTTTATTGTTAATAAATTCAATAAGTAAATAAACTCACCGTCTACATCCATCTCGGCACTTATTTCCCTCCAGCATTTATCCACCACGTATCTGTTTGAATGCCTTTTGTCTCTTTTATCCCAAATAGGTGGTTTACTAAAAACTAACGAAATCAGTATATCAATATCCATATTATTAAACGCGGTGTTGTTCCCTTGAAAATTAAGCCGCAAATGGCAGTTTACCAGCGCTTACCGGCGCAGGTCGGAACCGGTCAAAACTTGTCAGCGCCGTTCGGCGCTTATCGGCGCTGTTTCGACACAAAGTATAGAAACTGCCTGCGCCGGCTGCCTGCGCGCACCGATTCCGATAAGCGCTGCTAGATCGGCGCAGGTAACCAGCTTTCTATGTGCATACGCCCTAAGACAGTAACGTCATATCTTTTGTGTAGCCATATATGGATGATCCGACCTGCCTACTTTTTTGAGGAAGAAATTGGACTGGTATCTCCTTCTTGTTTTTTTTCAGTGTCCCTACGTAGGTCAATGCCTACGTTTTTAGTAAAGTGACTGCTTCTATTGAGGAGAACCAGTTATCAGCCGTTATATTTCTATTTGTACTATATAACGGCTTTGCGACGCGGATAATTGCTTGGGTTGGTTTGGAATTTTTTTTTTCATCAGATAGTAGAGAGTAGCCATCACTGTCTTTACCAGTATACACATACGCATTGAAAAGATATCCCGTTCTGGCATCAGTTAACGTCACGATTTTTAATCCATATTTGCATGGATTGTTTGGCATGTACATCTTGAATTTACAGCGCCCTCGGAAGGACACCAACATTTCATCAATACATGCACCAGTACCAATTGTATATACAGATTGGCAATTTTTGATGAAAATATAAAAAATTTCCGAAATCGCAGCTAGTGGATCTGTTTGTTTTCGTTCAGCACGGATTTTCCTATCAAACCGAAAACAAGCAAGAATCATTGCAAACCTATTTGAATTAAATATAGATCTAATGTCTTCATTATTGGATTTGAAAATATAAGTCATCAGAAGAATTCCTAGGAAGCTTTGCAATTCTATAATATCCATATCGCGAAGATCGCTGGTATCTTTCCTAAATTTTGTACGAAACTGTGCTAAACTTGCGTTTGCCCACTGCAAGATAATTTCTAAAATGTCGTTCGTGAATAACATATTCCACGTAGTCTTTGGATCGGATGCTGTCGCGGCTATATTTTTTAGTCCTGGGCATTTCAAGATGATATTATGTTTCAAGGTGAATTTGATACATCCGATTCACGTGTCATATCAATGCCCTCATTATAATTTATATCAATTTCAGTTTCACTATCATGCTGCTCGCTCAAAATGAAATCGCTGTCAGCCACGTCATCGTCCTTATCAGCAGAATTGCAGGAATCAACCTCCTCAAACCATTTTAAAACAGTTTCCTCGAAATTTGGGTCCGTATACTTCACTCGTTTTGAAGAACCAGGTAAATTTTTGTCTTCCATATCAAAAACCTAACAAAATAATCATAAATTATAAATATTCATCTTGTAAACAAAATTCCTCTTACACAGATCTGACGTCTTACAGACACCCGCCAACATAAAATCACTCGCAAAAAATGTAACACTGTATCTATCAACCGCAAACGAACACAGTCGGTTTAGCACTGAAATCCACGAAGGTACATAGCGTCTCATCCGCGTAGATAGGCGGAGGGGGAAGTACCCAAACAATTGAAAAGCTCAGGTGTCTCAGAGTAGTAGTCTGTAGTTACGGGTTAATCAATTCCTGCGAGACCTGCAATTTAGCTAAATACGATAGAAATCCTCACAAACCACCGTATGAAGGGCCGCTAATTGCAAAATACCCGTTCGAAATTATTCACGTTGATACTTTCAAAATTGATAGCAACAAGTTTTTCACTATTTTGGATTTATTTTCTAAATATGGGCAAGCCTATCATATTACTGATGAGAATTCAATAACTTTGTTATTATTCCTGTAAAAATAAGATGTGATAACAGAGCCGGATTCACAGCCAGAGCTTTCAAAGAATTCTGCGAGTTACATAAAATCAAAGTCCATTTTACCACTCCTGAGAATCCTTCATCTAATTCTCCCGTTGAGAGGTTCCACAGTACCCTTAAAGAAAAATTAAGTGCTTTAAGGCTTCAAAACCCGAAAACAGATATAAAGGAGCTCATGGTGACCGCGATTTTGAATTACAATCAAAGTGTCCATAGTTCAAAGATTTTTTCTCCCCACTCATCTATACTCCTTTCAACAGAACAAACGTAACAAATATCGAATTAAGTAGGGACGTATATGAACAATACAACCAAAAGCGTGTTGACGAGCTCAAAATATTATATCAGTCGGTAAGCGATAAATGTAAGGAAAAAGCTGAAAAGGTTCTCCGTAAGAGAAACGAAAATCGCACTGAACGACCGGAAATTCCAAAAGAGACTACGGTTTTTGTCGAGTCCAGACAAAGGACTACGAAAATCAACCCCAGACAGGTGAAATCCAAAGTTAGAAATCAGAAAGGCAAAACCTTGCGGTTACAGACTCTAAGCAAAATACCAGTTCGCACTAGAAGGAATTTGCGTCAGATTAAAAGAGTAAAAAAGGGTTTTTCTTCACATGGCAACCCTATGGCCGCAGAGTCTTCCGCTGAGGCTTCATCAAGTCCCAACCAATAAAGGTTTCTACCCGGGGGGGACGCAAAATTAATAAGCCATTATCATACGTTTATTTTTAGCCATAATCTCAGCTTAATAGCTGATGTTATTATGCAGTTAGAAGTTTGTTATAGTATTGTAGTAAACCGTTCTAATGAGATCAACCTCAAACCGGTACTAGAGGACCTATACAAAAATGTTAATAATGTAAAAATGGAATATTTAAAATTATCACTTTATCATTCACACAGTAGAAGGCGTTAACGGATTTGGCAGCATAATTAGGTATGTGACAGGAAATTTAGATCAAGATAACCTTACAGAAATTAACGATAAATTTCAATCATTAAAAGACAAGGAAAATGACCTTATAATAGCCATCAATAATCAAAAAGCATTCGCTCAGCTCATTTCACAAAAATTTGAGAACGATATGAAAGTCATTCAAAACAATGTACAATTGCTATCAGAAACTGTCAAGAAGTCAGTTTATGATTACGAATATGAAAGTTCGATTTTTAGACTATTTATTCCTTTACGAGAAATTTTAGATTATGTCAGACTGATCCAAGGCACAATATCCTTATCACAGAAACAGATGACAAATGTACCTAGTTTTAGTCTTAAGGAACTGACCCATGTTAAAAATTACCATTCTCATGTAAATAGCACTCTTATAATAGGTGAATTTGTTGTTGTATTGTTTGTGCTTGTGGTAAAATTAAAAAAAAAAAGTTCTGAAAGAGAAAAAATCATCTCGAAAGTCTATTGAGATCGATAAGAACGAGGACGTTCTAAGAGTTTAAGGGGGGAGGTGTTATATCCATCATCACCCTGTATTTTATATAATATTATAAGTATTACTAGTACTTGTATTTCTTGCTAGTATTGTCGCTACGCTATGGAATCTTATCTCGCGCCTTGAAGTTCACATGTTAACATCCTCTGTATCAGCATATTATATTTCTGCTACACCTTTAATTATCTACTTTACATTTATCAAAAAACCTGTGATTGAATAGATTTGATGCTCAAGTTTCTCCACAGTGTTTTGATGAATATAAAATAAACTGTGAAAGATGGAAAGCTACCATTTATCATAAAAATGGAGCATTTGTGGACCCATATTTCTATGAAATTATTAGCTGTCCCACTTCATAATATATCTGCAATGTAGTCCCTAATAGCAACAGCACTACCATCATCTTCTATATCCTCATTATCATCACCAATGGCTACTGCAGCATTCTCAGCCTTGATCGTCTTTATTAAATTAGCATCTGGAAGCTCATCCTTGATAGCAATATTATGGAGAATATAGACTGCTCTTACAAAATGGACTATCAAAGGTATCTTCCGTAAGTTGATGTGATAGAGTTGACGGAATTTTTGCTTCAGCATATTAAAAGGATGTTCAATAATGCATCTATTTGTAGATAACTTTATATTGTAATTTATCTGTTGTTGAGTCCCTCGATCTTTGTAGGGTGTTAGCAGATTTTTTTGAAGAGGGTATCCACTGTCTCCCACTATAAAATAGGTCCCACAATTTTGTTCTAATGTCTGACTTAGAGGAGAAGTCCGAAAAACTCGACTGTCATGAACTGATCCTAGATACCCTACAAATACATCTCTAAACCTTCTTTGATGATCACACACAGCCTGCATCTAAAATGAAGGAAAAAAACATGAAATAACTTCCAATTATATAAATCTCTCTAAAAAACTTAGACATCAAGCTTCTGAAAATGCATGACATGCAGTAGCAGTGCAGAAGACAAGACATGTTGAATAAATCTGCTATTTTGCATCTTTATATTGCCGTGAAGCATTGTAATGTATACGTATTGTTCAGAAGAATTTCAATAGCTGCATACAAATAAATGTAGTCCATATAAATGCAATCATATCATTTCTTTTAACATATATGTATTATACATGATCAATTACTACACTTATTTGAATAGAGTAAAAGCCTTTTCTGATTATGTACGATTCAGGGTCATTTTCTGGTTTATTGAGTTTTATGTGCGATCCATCTATACAAAACCGATTACTCTTAGAAACCCATTATTCCTGAAATGTGCTTCAATTTGTTCTTTTACTGTCATCAGGCCATTTAATTACCGTTGGTGATAAATTGCTAAGGAACAGTGTCAGTGTCTCTTTAAAATTCTTGTGAGTGAAATGTTATATCTATCTGCTGCATCCCTGAATCCTGTAGCCTCATGCCCAATGTACCATAAATAGACCAGTACCTACAATTGCTTTCTAAGTAAGTATAATATCTTTATATATATTAGTAGTAGAACAACATCGATTCTAACTCACTTGGTAACCCATCCATCAGGTTCTGTTCTGTTTGCCCTCTATTTGACCTTGGGCATCTGAAGACTTTGCAGACATGCAAGAAGTGTATCGCCAATGACCAGAGGGTGAGATGTGTCAAAACGTGACGTCATGTATGCAGAAAAAAGGCCTAAATACCACGTGACCCACAAAAGTGAGTAGTGATTGAGAAAAGCTTTATGCATATGCAAGAGACAAGCCTCGCCTAGCCAAGCCTAATTTAAATCATCCTCTAGTCATAATAATAATAATAATACTAATAATAATAATATGGGAAGTAAATGAAACGACGGTGGTAGTATGATATTAATATATTTAATCGTATATAAAACAACTTATATCTGAAGCTGCGAAATGATGGAATGTGTTTTTGAAACTGTTGATAGAATATGTTTTTCTATTGAAAATAATGTATCCCTGTCGAAGCAACTGCCTTATATTGTATTTTCCACAGTACATAATTGTACCTTTTCGTTTCATTGTGACTGGATAATAGTTCAGATCTTGTCCAATTACATATCCAATTGTTCGATTGTATTGATTTTTAATTTCTGTGTCGATGGGAATTTTTTTCCCTGAGTAATAGAATGCTGGATACGACTTTAATTCTGTTCTTCCATAATTATGTAACTCATACAGGTAAAAAACTCCGTCTTCGATGTTGAATATCTGATCAGCAACTACAACTGGTTCATTCTGGTAGCACGTTGTTAGGGTAAAAAACTGAATGGCTAAAACAGCAGCAGCAATTTCAACTAAATCCAGACAATTCATCTCTGAGAGTGTTCTTCCTTTGAATGGTATATATATATACATATATGTATTAAGTCTCATACTGTCTTTTTATATTGTCCGAAAGGGTAGGAGGAGGAGGAGGAGGAGGGTGAAAAATATTACTATTCTTCATTTAACAGCCAAATTGTAAACGTTTCACAAACAGAACAATATTGCATTTTTCTTTGTCGTATGTTTGTGTATTGAAGAGTCACTTGTATGGTGAACTCGGTATTTTTCCAGCATGAAACGCAAATATATGAAGGCATTACTTGTTGATGTACTAATCACTAGCAGCGTATTAATCAACAGCATGAACCAACTAGATTATTATAACTAGTAACGCAAACGATTAAATATATCAGTTCAGTTATCACTCATGTGCTATGAAGTACTACGGTGGTGAAGGCTTACTGAATACAGCTATAAATAATTTACCTGTAGAATTACACATCCCAACGTACAGATACTGTGGTCCTGGCACTAAACTTGCTGAAAGGTTAGCCAGAAATGATCCAGGTGTGAACGGATTGGATGAAGCTTGTAAACAACACGATATATTTTATTCAAAAGAAAAAGATCTGAGTAATCGGCATTTGGCTGATAAGGTGCTGGCAAAACAAGCAATGAATAGGTTTCGTGCAAGTGATTCGTCTTGGAAGGAGAAGGTCGCCGCTTTAGCTGTAGCAGGTGCTATGAAAGCTAAAGTAAAACTTGGAATGGGCTTAAAAGAAACCTCTCAAAGGCACCAAAAACGTAATATAAACAATTGTTTGAAGAAATTACATAAATTAGCGAAAGAATTAGAGGGGTCTCAAAAACTGGTTCAAGACTCTGTACAGATCCTACAAACTGAACAATCTCAAAAAGCTCAAAAAAATATACTTGCGAAGGTTAAGGAGAAAAGTAAATCTAGTGAGAAAAAAGTACGAGAAGTGAGAGAAATCAAGAAACACGAAACCAAAAATAACTCTGTAGAAAAACATGAAACATTCAAAGTAAAGCGTGAACGAAAAACAAAACCTAATGTTAAAGAGAATAAACGTGGCAGAAAACCAAAGTCTGCTTTAGAAAGCATAAATGAAAAAATCAAGAGAAGAAAAAAACCAAAGACTCCAATTGAATACATGGACACTGATATAACAGAAGAAGGACAAAAGAACAAACCAAAAAAGAGGAAACTGGATTCAGCCTTTACTACTACTCGTACTTCATTGAATGATGAAAAAGTGAAAAAAAGAAAAATAGATTTGGATGATCCAATTATAATTCCTGAGAAAAAATGCAATACAAAACGTAAGAGAGAATCTGATAATGAAGAAAACGAACAACAACAACGCAAGTTAGATATGAGTGACGTAATTCCACATCCATGGAAACAAAAAAATAGAAAACGGAAGATTCAACCAGATAATGATAATGATCGTGATAATGATGATGATGATGATGATGATGATAGTAACATACCTAGGAAAGTTAAAGTTATAAATTCCTAGTAATCTACACACCTAAATTCAGTAATGAAAATGGTACGTAAGAAGAATGTCAGTCCTAAGAAAAGAGCTACAATTGACCGACTACAACAACAACAACAACGATCACAGCATCAGAAAAAAAAACAAAGACTAAGAGGAAAACGAAAAGTATATCGAGCAGTAAAATAAAAAGAAGGAAAGTTAGCTTTTCTAGCGCAATTAAACAAATAGGGAAACGTGTGGTAGATCAAAAACCTACTACCTTTGGAGAAGCAATACTTGTAGCGTTGAGGGAGGCACAAAATTTGAAAAAAGGTGTAAAAAAGCCGCCAAATCGTATAGTGAAGATACCGAAGAAAGGAGGTATACTACCACTAATCCCAATTTTTGCTGGCCTATCAGCCCTTGGTGCTTTGTCTGGTGGTGCTGCTGGTATTGCTAAGGCTGTCAATGATGCAAAATCCGCAAAGCAGCAATTACAAGAATCTCAACGTCATAATAAAATGATGGAAGCTGTAGCACTTGGAAAGGGAATGTTTTTGAAACCCTATAAAACGGGAATGGGCCTTTTCCTGAAACCATACATTAATTAAAACCAGTAGTGAGATAAGGGAAAATGTCACTGAAAAAAACAAAACAAGTGGCTAAAGTTTCAATTCCAAATGGTCACCCATTAACAAACGTTGAGCTGGAAAGGTATGCAAAACGTTTAAAAATACCGTATTTTCGAGGAGTCTTCATGCGAGATAAACTTCCAAAAAAAATAAAAACCAATGAAAGAGGAATTATGAATTTGGATACATCTACGGGACCAGGTACCCACTGGACTGCTTATAAGAAAAAGGGAAACTTAGTGGTTTACCTGGATACATATGGAAACTTAGAACCACCATTCGAAGCAATTGTATATTTTAATTCTAGTGGACCCTGTAGAGTACAGTACAATTATAATGTATTTCAAAGATTTAATACTATAAATTGTGGTCAATTGTGTTTACGTTTTCTCAAAAGTGAATAAATACTGCTTATCATAATGACACTTGTTTATTTCATGTATGGCTATTAATCGGTTCATATCTGTATGATGTATACGTTTACTTTATCTGCTAGAGAGTCTGTGTTATCAGCTAAAATATATCCACCTATAGTACTCGACAGAAGTAAAACGTATGCTTTAGGACTTATTGATTTTTTAACTTTCAACACAATACCCAACATAGATATAACAAATAATAAGTTCCATATTGATGATGAGGTTTTAACAGTTCCCGAAGGTAGTTATGAAATAAAAGACATTATAGCATTTCTTAACGAGAGAATAAAACCAAGGGTAAGTGAAATTAAAAAAAAGAAACCACAGAAACCATCTCTAAATTCAAATGCAATTACCAAAGATGATGAGAAACAAACTGACATACAACTCCATATGCGAAGTAATTTAAATACCTTACGGTTTGAAATTAAAAGCAACCGACTAATTGATTTTGAGCAAAATGGTACAATAGGTGAGTTATTAGGGTTTAGAAAGAGGAAATTAAGTCCACACAAACTACACATCTCAGATTTTCCTGTAAATGTTTCCAAAGTGAACTCTATATGTGTGGAATGTAATCTGATAACGAATTCTTTTAGAAATGATCATGCTGTTCACACGTTGCATATGTTTTACCCTAACGTGCCTAGTGGATATCGCATAATAGAAAAAGTATCAAATGTCATCTATTTACCAATAAATAGCCATTATATTGATGAAATAGTGCTTAAAGTAGTGGATCAAGACGGAAATTTGGTTAATTTCAAAGG